GCTCTGTGACACGATCACAGGTCTTCTCTCCAAGGCCAGTGGGTGGGCAAGGTAGTCCTTAAGGCTGCCTGGTGAACCAGGGTGCTGACAGTGTGGAGCCCAGTCCCTACCCCAGCCCAGGCCAGGGTTCTTCCACCCTGTGCCCCACCAAGCCAACCACACCTTGGGTCTCAGTGCTGCCCGCCCTTCCCTCTGTCTCAGGTGTCGGCGCTACCACCCAACGGCCTGGTCCGCAAGGTGAAGCGGACACTGCCCAGCCCCCCTCCAGAGGAGGCTCACCTACCCCTGGCTGGCCAGGCTCCCCCACAGCTGTATGCGGCCAGCTTGCTGCAGCGTGGGCTGGTGGGGCCCACCGCTGTCCCTGCCACCAAAGCCAGCCTGCTCCGGGAGCTGGACCGGGACCTGCGGCTGGTGGAGCATGAGTCCACCAAGTTGCGCAAGAAGCAGGCAGAACTGGATGAGGAGGAGAAGGAGATCGACGCCAAGCTCAAGTACCTGGAGCTGGGCATCACACAGCGCAAAGAGTCTTTGGCCAAAGACCGGGGTGGCCGTGACTACCCACCCTTGCGTGGTCTCGGCGAGCATCGTGACTACCTGTCCGACAGCGAGCTCAACCAGCTGCGGCTCCAGGGCTATGCTGCTCCGGCTGGCCAGTATGCAGATTTCCCTGTCACTGCCGCAGCTCCTGCCACCCCCTCTGGCCCCACTGCCCTGCAGCAGCCCCAGTTCCCACCTCCGGCCCCACAGTACACTGCAGGCAGTAGTGGACCAACTCAGAATGGATTCCCAGCCCACCAAGCACCAACCTACCCTGGGCCCAGCCCGTACCCAGCACCTGCCTTTCCTCCTGGTGCCAGTTACCCAGCTGAGCCTGGCCTGCCAAGCCAGCAGGCTTTCCATCCCACAGGCCATTATGCAGCCCAAACAGCCATGCCAACCACACAGAGCACCCTTTTCCCTGTCTCAGCTGACAGCCGTACTCCGCCCCAGAAGCCGCGTCAGACATCACTGGCTGACTTGGAGCAGAAGGTGCCCACTAACTATGAGGTGATTGCCAGCCCTGTTGTGGCCATGTCTTCAGCCCCATCTGAAACCAGCTATAGTGGCCCAGCAGTAAGCAGCAGCTATGAGCAAAGCAAGGCCCCTGAGCTGTCCCGGGCCAGTGACCGTAGCAGTGTGAGCCTGAGCCCAGCCCCCACCTACCCCTCTGACTCAAACTACACCAGCCTGGAGCAGAATGTCCCTCGGAACTATGTGATGATTGATGACATCAGTGAGCTGACCAAGGACAGCACCTCCACTGCCCCTGATAGTCAGCGACTGGAGCCCATGGGACCAAGCAGCAGTGGACGTCCAGGGAAAGAGCCAGGAGAACCAGGTGTCCTTGAGGGGCCTACACTGTCCTGCTGTTATGCCAGAGGGGAGGAAGAATCTGAGGAGGACTCGTATGACCCGCGTGGGAAGAGCAGCCATCACCGGAGTGTGGAGAGCAATGGCCGACCAGCCAGCACCCACTACTACAGTGATAGCGACTACAGACATGGGGCTCGAGCAGAGAAGTATAGTCCAGGCCCCATGGGGCCCAAGCATCCCTCCAAGAGCCTGGCCCCAGCTGCTGTCTCCTCAAAGCGCAGCAAGCACCGGAAGCAGGCCATGGAGCAAAAGATCTCCAAGTTCTCACCAATTGAAGAGGCCAAGGATGTGGAGTCAGACCTGGCCTCCTACCCAACCCCTGCAGTCAGCAGCAGCCTGGCCTCTCGGGGCAGGAAGTTCCAGGATGAAATCACCTATGGGCTCAAGAAGAACGTGTATGAGCAGCAGAGGTACTATGGGGTGTCTGGCCGGGACCCAGTGGAGGAGGATGATCGCATGTACGGCGGGAGCAGCCGGTCCCGGGTGGCATCTGCATACAGTGGGGAGAAGCTATCCAGCCATGACTTCAGTGGCCGGGGCAAGGGATATGAGCGGGAACGGGAGGAGCGACTTCAAAAAGCAGGCCCAAAGCCCTCATCCCTGAGCATGGCCCATGGCCGGGTCCGGCCCCCCATACAGAGCCAGGCCTCTGAAGAGGACAGCCCCGTCAGCCCCTTGGGACGGCCCCGCCCCACTGGGGGCACTCTCCCTCCTGGGGACACCTGCCCACAGTTCTGCTCCAGCCACTCCATGCCTGATGTCCAGGAGCATGTCAAGGATGGACCAAGGGCCCACGCATATAAGCGTGAGGAGGGCTACATCCTGGACGATTCCCACTGCGTAGTTTCCGACAGTGAAGGTAATGGCAGACGGGGGTGATTTCTGCAGATGCTCGGCACCTGGGGGGCCTGCCTGCTTGTGGGGCCCTGGGCCCAGAGATGTCCCAGTAGGGCCTGGCCTGACGCATCATCTAGTGGGCCCTGCTGCAGGCTGCGCTTCTTGCCTGCTTTACCTGCACCCTGGCCCCAGTAGTGGGAGGGTGGGCTGGGGGCCTAGTGTTATGCTTGTGGCTGTGGTACCCACCTGGTTTCCTTGCATGGCTTCAGCTGGGCCTCCTCCTGTGATCAACCTGGGGGTTGATGGTGTTCTATTTTTGGTCTCTGAAGCGTATCACCTGGGCCAGGAGGAGACAGACTGGTTTGATAAGCCCCGGGATGCCCGCTCTGACCGGTTCAGGCACCATGGGGGCCATGCAGTCTCCTCCTCTTCCCAGAAGCGAGGCTCTGCCAGGCACAGCTACCACGACTATGATGAGCCCCCTGAGGAGGGCCTGTGGCCACACGATGAGGGTGGCTCGGGCCGCCATGCCTCAGCCAAGGAACACCGGCACCACAGTGACCACGGGCGGCACTCAGGCCGCCACGCTGGTGAGGAGCCTGGCCGGCGTGCTGCCAAACCGCATGTTCGGGACCTGGGTCGCCATGAGGCCCGGCCTCACCCTCAACCCAGCCCTTCCACAGTCGTGCAGAAGAAGGGTCAGCCTGGGTACCCCAGCCCTGCTGAATACTCACAGCCATCCCGTACCCCATCAGCGTACCATCATGCCTCTGACAGCAAGAAGGGCTCCCGGCAGGCCCACTCCGGGCCCGCTGCACTGCAGCCAAAGCCAGAACCCCAGCCGCAGCCACAGCCGCAAGGTCGGCAGGCAGCTCCAGGGCCACAGCAGTCACAGCCACCGCCATCCAGGCAGATGCCCTCAGTGACAGCATCGCGCCAGCTGCAGACACAGCAGCAGCAGCAAGGTCTTGGGCTACAGCCCCCCCAGCAGGCCTCATCACAGGCTCGGCTGCAGCAGCAGGGCCAGCCAACTGCTCGGGGCTCAGCCCCTGCTGCCAGCCAGCCATCAGGGAAGCCTCAGCCAGGCCCCACGACAGCCACAGGCCCACAGCCAGCAGGACCGGTAAGTAGGGCTCCAGTGCATGGATCCTACCCAGGGTGGATGTTACAACTGCAGCTTGGACATCCCTTGGTTCCAGGCTGGGCTTGGGCAGAGTCCATGGGTAGTATCTCAGCTATGGGTTCTATGTTGCAGCCACGGGCAGAACAGGCAAATGGCTCTAAAGGGACAACCAAAGCACCCCAGCAGGGGAGGCCTCCTCAGGCCCAACCACCACCAGGACCTGGACCTGCAGGTGAGCCTACACTTTGGTGCCCTCAGCTATGCCCCAGGATACCTCTCCCTGCACCCATTGGTGCCCTGAGCACGCACTGCATGCCCTCACTGCTCCCTGAGAAGGTGCCCAATAGGCTATAGACCTCCCCAGCAGAAAAGAAGCCTGGGGTTAGAATGAGCCAATGGGGTCACCAGCCTGGGGCCTTAGGGCCCAGGCAGCTCTGGGCAGGCAACATGGAAGGGACTGGTGAGCACAGGGCCAGGACCATGGCTTCTTCCTCTCTCCTTTCCCCTTCCCTCCTCTCTTCTGCCTTCTCATCCTCCTTTTCCTTTTCTTCCCTTTCTCCTTCTTTACCTTCCTCAACTTCCTTTTTTATGCTTCTTTCCACCCCTTTTCTTCCTGTTCTCATCTTCCTCTTTATTCTTCTATTCTCATCCTCACCCTCCTGCCTCATGGGGTACCTGTGTTCAGATTCCCTCATGTCTCCTCTCCCACTCACAGCCTAAAGAGCCAGGCCAAGTGTGGCTCATGATGGTGGTTTCTTTCTCTCTAGGCTTGAAGGCTGGAGCCAGACCTGGAGGGACCCCAGGAGCTCCTGCTGGCCAGCCAGGTGCCGATGGGGAGAGCGTGCTCTCCAAGATCCTCCCTGGTGGGGCAGCAGAGCAGGCCGGCAAGCTGACGGAAGGTAGGCACTGCCTATGGCCAGGTCCATGGTGGGCAGCTGCTCCAGGGCCCTACTCTGGGAGAGGTTGGGTCTGGGGAATGATTCTAAACTCGGTCATTCAGGCCAGGCCAGCCCAAAGGCACACTTGCTGCTGCCTAGTGGTTCTCTGGGTGGTCCTTACCCCTTGGGCTAAGCTCGGCTTCACTATGCCAAATGGCCCTGACTAGGAGGAAGTCTGACCCAATTTCTTGACACCTCTGTTCTTTTTCTATGTTGTAGCTGTCTCTGCTTTTGGCAAAAAATTTTCCTCATTCTGGTGACCATGCCCTGCAGGGTAAGTATGAGCTACCTGTACCCAGCCTACCTGGGAAAGGCCTGAGGCCCTCATGTGGGAGCCTCCAAGTCCTGAGGGATTCTCTGGGGAGAGTCTGGTCTTCAGCTGCAGGTGATATGGCCAGAGCTGCAGTGTCCTCTCCTAAGAGTGTGGGAAGAAGAGGAGGAAAAGGAGGGACCTTGTGCTCAGAGGCCCCGACATGGAGCCAACTCAGTAGAGGTCTTCAGCAAAGGGAAGCCAGGGCCAATGTCTGCTTGTCTTTCTCCACCACCCCCTTTCTCCCCACAGGGCTCTCACAGCTATGAGTTGGCATTAGGTTGTAGGTGGGACCCACTGGGATGCAGCTTCTCCCCAACCCTCCTCTGTAAATGCTCCACAGGCTCTTGAAGAGATGAAGGGAGATGGTATCATTGCTGTGGAAAAATCTCTGGAGTCAGAGGCCTGGGCGCAGCTCTGGACTCTGCGTATAACAGTGAGTGTCAAGCCCAGGGTGGTATGGGTCAGAGGAAAGGGTGAAGGGCCAAGGCCTGGCTGACTAGATCCACCCAGTTCCTACAAGAATGAACTAGAAGGCACCTGGTGGGCTTCCTTCACCTGTGACAGGCCCAGCAGCTATCCGGGAGGCAGAGACCACTGAGCTGGCTGAGAGGACTCAGGTAGTAACCTTGGGGAAGGGTCCAGCAAAGCCAACCATGCCCCACAACCTAGGGTCTGTGCACTGGGCACTGATTCCAAAGCCCATTTGCTGAGGCCTGGTGCTGGTGACTTTGCCTCAGCCAGAAAAGTGAGGCCAGAGTCTCCAAACCCTGCAGAGCTTAGCAGCCCTGGGCATAAAGTCAAGACACTGTTGGCTTCACGCACTGAGCTTGTGACCTGCAAGGTGGAAGAGCAGAATGAGTAGAGAGGCAGAGAGGAAAGGGAGGTTACCTATACAGGTGGTCTCAGTCTCATATCAGGTTAGCCCAGGGAGAGAGTAGAAGGGCCTCAGATTGGCGGCCAAGGCAGGACAGAAGCCTCCTCGAGCCTTCTCTTGCCCTGGCCCTGCCTCTGCGGGGAAGGAGAAGGTGGTGCATCATCCAGGATGGCAGGGAGGGTAGCCTGGCTGTTGGCACTGCTCTGTGAACAGCCAGGGACCACCTCCTACCATTCCATAGTCCTGGAACCCTCTTATTCTCCCTCCTTTGGCACTTCTCAAGTTAAGAGTATGGAGGTTTGGGCACTTCTTATGGTGGGCAGGCCGGGCAGTTAGCAAGCAAATCACAAAGGAGCCCTGGAGCCAGCAGGAGCCCTTGCCTAGGCCAGGCCTGCTGATAGGAAGGCACTGGGTATAGTATTGAAAGGGCTTCCTGTCTCTGGAGGAACAATGAGGGGTCTGGAGAGGCCCAGTCTTCCATCCACTTTGTTTATTCCACAAATGTTTGTCAAGCCCTAGGCAGGTGCTGGGCTCTATTCCAGGCACTGGGAATATGGCAGGGAACAAAACCAAGTCCTTGCCCTCTGAAGCTGACTGTCCATTAAGGGGGACAGAGAATAAATAAGTTAAAAAATAAAAATTAGATTAAAAAGGTAATTTCTGAAGGTGATAAGTGTTATGAAGCCAGTGAAGCAGGGTTATGGGGCAGAGCTGTCTGCTCTAGGGAAAGTGGTCAGTGCGAGGTAAGGCTCGAGGGAGGAGAAGAGGCTGCTGCAGGGTGTTCCGAGGTGAGGGAAGAGCACCAACAGAGGCTCTGATGTGAGGATGAGACAAGTGGGCCTTAGGGATGGGCAAAAGGCAGCACAGCCAGAGCCACAGTGGTCAGGGATGAAGTCTGAGGGGGCGGGAGCCAGCTGGGGTGGGCTTTGGAGGTCAAAGTAAAGAGCCTGGAATTTATTCTAATTATAGTAGGCACAGTGCAGCACCCCCAGCGCTCTTCCTGCCTTCACCCCATGACAGTGGGCTCCCTGCCGCTTTCCTGCTCAGTGAATGTCTCCCTGGAGCTGCTCTGGAACAGATATGAAATCAGAAATTGTGCTGAGGGGAGGAGAAGGACTTGAGGCAGCCCACGGGCCAGGTTCACGGCAGTACCTACCTTGGGTTTGGGGCCGAGGCTCCATCCTGGAGATGGAAAGGAACCACTGGCATGGCTTTGTTCTGTGTCCTGCCCCACGATGTGGGTAGGCCACTGAGACCACCAACTTTGTAGTTAAAGGAATCTTTCTCAGGGTCTAGCATTTGGCTGATGATTGGGCCAACCAGTCAGCCCTTCTGTGGGGCCCCTCTCCTGGTGTCTTTTATGGCAGTGTCAGAAGTGGGCTGGGAAAGGCTTACCACTTTAAACCAAATCCCATCTCCCTCACTCCTAAGCAAAACAAAAACAACTTGTGTTATATTAAAGAAATGTCCCTTCCCGGCCAACCTAATTTCTTCTTTCTTCCTGTCCTTCTCTTTGTGACCTCAAATCTTCCCAGGCACCCACTCTCCAAGCCTCAGTGAGGTGGGATCCTGTAGGTGAGAAGGAGTTAGGCCTTCGGCACGTGGCAGACAGCTGAGAGGAGTCCGGGGCTGGGAAACAGCTGTCCACAGTTCTTGACAAAATCCTACTTTCTTTCCTTCCCCCCTCCCCCTTGTTTCTTCCAAGCATCTACAGTCTGGCAAACCCTTGGCCCAAAGACTCACACCAGGTGGGATGTGGCAGGCGGGCCTCAGTTGAAGACAGAATGTTTTCTAACAGCAGCTGCCTGGGTGAAGCATTTGCTGGACACGTGGGACCACTGGCCCAGGGACCTGTGACTATCTTTCCAGAGACCCTGCTCTCCTCAGGGGACTACCTTCAAGGCACGGCCTTCGTTGGGAGGGAGGAGCCCTCTCCAGAAACCTTGCCACCATGGCAGTCTTGCTGCTCTTCCCACAGCCGCCTTTCTGCGGCCTGGCCAGCCAGGCTTCCAATGCGTTATACACAGAGTTTAGGCACATGCTGCCTGTTTTTGATGGATGCTGCCCTCCCTCCATGATGCCAGAAGTTTTTCCACAGCCTTGGAGAGGGGCTTTGACTGAGGGCTGGAGGCCCCAGTCTCCATTTCCTTCACATTCCAGCTGGCCCAGATCCCTCTGTGGCCACAGGGCCCTGCTCCCCTCACCCTGCCCTCCGGGTGACATTGGAGCAGACTTCCCTGTGGCTAGCGTGAGGTTGGGAGAACTTTACAAACATTAGGACCTAACACTGTCTCATTGATGAAATAAGAGGCCATAGCACCGAAAAGCAGCGTGGGCGCCGGCTGAGGCTTCTCCTAGCCCGTGGATGGCAGCATGCTAGCATGCCTGCCACCATCTCAAAGCCATCCCCCCAGCCATTGTGAGCATCCCAGCAGCACCACCATTGTCTCAAACAGCCGGCTCCTCATTTGTACACCTGGGGATTTCTTTTGATTTCAAGAACAGCCTTAATCATTTCAGTTTTGATTTACGTGTATACCTCATAAACATTTTTCTTTTGTTTCTCCTTCTCCCTTTCTCTCCTCTTTCTCTTTGCTCACCTCCTTGCCTCTTTCCTCCACCACCTTTTGTGACTGATGGTGTGGTTTCCTCTCTGCTCTGTCCCTGCTCAGCACAGGGAGAATGTTGACTTAGAAGCAATAGTGGGCAGCAGGCCACCAAGAGCACAACCCCAGGGCGAGGTCTAGGGAGGCCCCTCAGCCCGCCTCTGTTTACTGTGCAATTCCAGACCTTCTTAAGCCATCACCAGTGGGCGTGCTCAGAGCAGAGGGGCCAGAGCTCCTGCCAATCAAGGGAAGGGTCCAGAGCCCTGTGTTGGGAAGAGTGGCACTGTCCATCCACCTGGTGGACTGGGTGACATTCCTCCCTAAGGCCCTTCCTTTGGGGGCCTCCCTTCATCATAGGCACAGCCACAAGTCTCATCTCTAACCTTCTATGCAATGAAATATAAACCCTCAAAGACAACTGTTAATATTTAATAAATTCCATGTTATGTATAAGGAGTTAATTGCAAACATGCAATTGAGAACTGGATAGATATGCTCATATCAAACCCCCCACCCTCCCTGCTCCCACTGTGTGTGTAAAATTCTCAGTCTGTGGCATGTTTGACCTGTGGCAGGACTCGCTGCTGCCAGGTGAGTCACCGCCTGTCCCGCAGTGGAGCATGCACAGCTCGCAGCCTCTTTGCACGATTTCATCCATTTTAAATGCTCGACCCTCTTGCTTGGAGTTCTTTTTGCCTCAGAACCTCTCCTTCAGGAGTACTTCTAGCTGACTTCTGCACGAGCTAGTGAGGACCTGCTGGAATTGTTGCCTGAGCATGCCAGGCTGCAGGCCAGGCAGTGCAAGGCCCCAAACACCCTGCAGGTTTCTCTGACCAAGATAGAGGTGAAAATGAGTCTTTGGAGTAGACATGCTGGTGGGAGCCCACACAAGGTGTGTGTCCATCAACATTCTGAAGGTTTGCAATAGGATTTCCGTCTGTAAGTCACTCCCGCTCTTACTCTAGCCCTGAGCCAGAGGTATCTGGCTGCCCCTTCCCAGGGGGGGCACTGCTCAAGGGCAGAGCTGGGCTGCATCTGTGGCCAGAGAGACAGAGGCCAACGGCAGGGCCTGGCTGTGTCTTGGGGACCCCAGCTTCTGACTGCACCTGCTCAATGCATCTCCTTGGTGGCTGGGAGGCTCAAAGGTTTATGAGCCAGGAGATCTAGGCTGGAGCCAGGGATCAAAGATCTAGGCTGGTACTCAGAAAGAACTGGACCTCTGGCACTTCTGGTGGGGACAGCTTACAGTGTCATCTTAGACCAGAGCAGGTGTTCACATAGACAGTGGCTTCAAGTTGAGTTTCTTGGGAAGTTTCTCAATAGTACAACTTATAGAAAGTCCTGTTGTGACCCTCTCTGCATGTGTCCCCAGGACATAAACTCCCTGCCCACCCCCATCTCTGAAGCCCAAGTGCCCACTGCTCGTCAGCTTCCCTGTGACGGAGCCAGGAGTGTGGCAGGCAATAGCTGCCTGACCCCTCAAGGCCTAGCCTGCCTCCAGAGTGCTCTGGTTTGCACCATGCATTTCTCAGGGGTCCACGTTTCTCATGCTTTCCTATGAGGTCTACACACCCCTTCAGAGAGGGATCCTGTCCCACCTCTGGCAGCTGTGGATGGGACAGCAGGCTGTCAACCTCTGTGTTTGGCCTGAGACCCTGGCCTTCTCGGACTTGGGCCTCACCCATCCCATGGGGCATCTGCCTCATTCCAGAGATTAGGCCTGGGCTGTATGAGGCCATCTGAGCAAGGGCTGAGGGAGGCCACCATCCAGCACCTCTGACCACCCAGGGCCAGGTCTGTGTGGGGATGTGCCTAGTGGCTGGATACTAGGGGGACAAAGGCAGTAATCCTTCCCACTAAAGGCCAGGGGATGGAACCAGGAGCAGGGAACAGGCAGGGAAATGACAACAGGTCAGCCTCTGTTAGTCTCAGGCTCTAAAATACTGACTTTTCAGCAAATATCCTTCCTGGACAAGCCCTCTGAGTTTGAAATTTCTGACATCTGCCACTTCCTACTCCCCAGTGTA